AGTTTGGCGTCCTGGAGGCGAAGTGCTGGAGTGGTGTGCGAGGTRAAGTYTTGAGTTYGGATAGGGGAGTGTCCCGAACTGCCATGAGGCGGGCCAGTTCGGGTCACTGCTTTGTGTGGCTCGGGGCCTAACGGAGAGTTCGGTCTCCTCGTAGGGAGTTCGAGCTCTTAGTAGGGAAGTCGGGCTCCCTGTAGGGAGTTTGGGCTCCTCGAAGGGAGTTCGGTCTCCTCGAAGGGAGTTCAGACTACTGGTTTCTTCCCTTTGGTGCTTGCGCCCTGGGTACGTTGTTTTAAGTGCCGAGCTATTCGTTTTTGCCATATGGAGTGATTGCGAGGTCGGGCCAAATCTTCCTTCATCAATGACCAAGGCCCGAAGAAGCACCAGTAACCATCATTGTAATAAGGAAGGGAGAAAGAGAGAGAACGAGAGAAAAAGAAAATGGGGAAGAAGAGAGGGGGGAGATAGAAAGAAATGGAGAGGAGAAAACAGATTGTCGCTGCTGAGAGTTGCCGTTGGTTCATCGCTATGTCAAGTGGAAAAGATGAACAGTGGGGGGGGGGAGAAATGTATGTCTTTTATTAAGGGTATTTTGGACTTATGGACAGGTTTGAAATGCGTATGACCGCATTTAGTGCCTAGCCTGGATCTTATTAGTTCAGAGTTGAAATTTCATTTTACACCCAAATTTATACACTTCCAAACATCTTTGGCGTTTGAAAAGCAATATTTTCAAACTTTAGAAGTCTGAAAAGTGTTATCAAACACCACCTAAACTTCAGATCTGAATACAAATCTTGAAGACTATACGATTGATCACCTCTTTTAATGTGGTTTTCCTTCCTTCCCTTAAGTTTCAAAGCTCATGAACTGGGTACCTTCCACCAGGGTTATACTAATTGATCTCCAGCAAGGTTGTGACACCAGTGTTATAGATCTCATTCCCAAACTCTTCCCTTAGGCCTTTTAATTCCTCATCATCTTCATCAATTACTTCCTGCAGAATTATCACCATTCCTATGTGATTAATTAATTCCCCATTACTTTACTAGCTTATAAGATAATTTTCCTTTAGTCAAGTAATAACTATAGAATAAGAATAACTTTCAATTTCTCATAGAATATTGGGCATGGAAAAGATCAATTTGCAAATTCAAAGTTGAAGCTTGTAATTATCTGCAAAGAGTTGCAGGTGGATGTATAAATGAGTACGTACAATCATGACCCACTAAAACCTAAAATGCGTAGTTGAGAGACAACAAAAAATAGTATTAAGGCTGCTTTCGATAAGAGGTTGAAGGGGACTCAAAACTGTTAATTTCTTGGATGGATGACAGGAGCTTGATCAAGAACATGGCAAGAGGAGTTAGGGGCAACTTTTAGATGGGTAAAGAGAACAGCTAATGGGATGGCCGACTCGCTAAACATGGAAACAACTTTTTGGGTAGACTAGTATTTCGGGTTCTCTCCCAACTTGTAAAGGGGTTGAGTTCTATAATAATAACATTTGTTATTATTATTGTCATTACTATTATTGTTAAATAATATTCTTAATATTATGAAATAGCATTTAATAATATTGTTTACATATAATAATAATAATAATAATAATAATAATAATAATAATAATAATAATAATAATAATAATAATAATAATAATAAATGACAATAATGAGAACATTAACATCATAACGTCATTTCATCACATAAATTCTAGCAAGACATGAAACCAACCCTTACCATTTCACATGTCTTTTCTCTTATTAGATGTTAGCTCAAACACCCTTACATCTAGAAAACAAGTTTTTTAGTTGTTAGACATCTAAAAGTGTTATCAAATGCTGTCTCGTAGTTTCAATTCTGTAAAAGTTTGTTTATAAACCTTGAACTTCGAGTTTAGATGTGCATATTATTTCTTAGAAAGCAAAGTTTTTTTTTGATAGGCTTATCTAGTGGGAGTCGGGCCGGGAATAGTTGGAACATCATGTTTATAATTTCTTTTACTTGGTTATTCTATGACTTTCTTTACCTATAAAAACAATTTGTAATAAGGAGAATAAGAAAAATCACAAATTTTAGAACAGCACCAAACATGCATCGGAAAGTGAAGCATCTTTGACTCTTTAGTGGCTTCAGTACAAGCTGATGCTGATATGGATTGATTGGCGAGAGACATTTTGGACATCCACACATCTCTGGCTTCTCATTGGCAAGAAATGTAAAATTTAAATATAACTGATAAGGGCAACTTTTGGGCCCTAATATCAATAAAAATAATTCTTTTAATATAATTTCTAAAATAGGTTAACTTAATTAAAAATATATCAAATAAGAGCAAAAACAATGTTCATCTTCTTCCTCCTCCAAACCATCGAACAAATCTCTCTCAAGATTAATAAATAACCTTGGGCTCTTCTTCGCTACTCTTAACCCTTGTACTTGACGCAACAACAACTTAAACCTTAAACCCTCAAAACGAAAATGGATAGCGCACCACCTCACATCACATGTTTTTTCGATTCTAAAATGGAATTTGGGGAATCTCAAATCAAAGACTCAAAGACTGATGATGATTAAATCTACATAAACCACAGTCTTTTTTATATACCCAACAAGAGGAGAAAGAGGAAGAAGATGACAAAGACAGAGGTGACAGTTTTAGTTCAGATTACAAGTGTGGATTTGGGTGAGGGGGTATGTTTCTTGTTTTCCACGGCGCCAAAGCCTAGTTTCCAGTGTGCTCTGATGACCGACGCCTAGCAAGTTGTAACGTAGAATTTGTATAGAAACGTGATCTCGTGGGCTTTCAAAATAGAGTGAGGAGAGAGAGAGAGATGATTGTGAATGGGGTAACATTCTTAGGAGTTGAGATTTCCCAAATTCCATTTTAGAAACCGCTTTTGGGTTGGATTCGGTGGTCTGAAGGAGGAAGGAGATGAATAGTGTTTCTACATTTTTTTGATATATTTTTTAAAAAAGTTACCCTATTCTAGAAATTATGTTAAAAAAATTATTTTTATTGATAACAAAACCCAAAAGTTGTCCTTATCAGTTATAATCCCAACAAAAATTCAAAAAAGGAGGAAAAAAGTAGACCCTACCTTGTTTAGGGGGTTGTTTTCAGAACTGAAACTTCTTGGTTTTAATATTTTTTGTTTTTAAAAAATGAAAAAAAAACTAGAGAACATAAAAGTGTCAGTTTGGACCTTTCCATTTTAATATTTAGATATAACCATGCATTTATGCAAATATGTGTATATAAGGTCAAGCCTGACTTGGGCTACTTGGGGGTTAGGCTAAGCCCAACTTGAATAATAGAATAACTAGGGGTGGCAACGAGCTAAGCTTTTTACGAGCTAATCGAGCTCGTCTCAGCTCGGTTTCAACCAAGCTCGAGCCCAATTCAGTGGCTTGATTATTAAATGAGCTGAGCTCGAACCTATTAGAGCTCGACTTGTGAGGCTCGCGAGCTGGCTCGAATATATATAATAAAATTATAGAAAATAATATATATAATAGAAATATTATAATTATTAATTATTATGATTCTTAATTTTTTAAATTTAAAATACACTTTTTTATATATAAAATATTTTTTTTCTCAAAATCGAGCTCGAGCAGAGCCAAGCCCGAGCTTATGAACTTTTGACTCGAGCCTTGTAGAATAGTCTCGAAACGAGCTCGAGTCTGGTACTATTCGACTTAGCTCGGCTCGGCTTGAATCCACCCCTAAGAATTACCCAAACAACTTAGGCATAGGCCCAACTTTTTTATTTTTTATTTTTTTGGTATTCGGTGTCCTTCACCATTAATAACTTCCCCCTTCACCCCTTTACCCCCCAAAGTGATGGTTGTGGGCCAAAAATCAACTCATGATGAATATATAAATAATGAGCTGGACTAATTCAATCTCAAGTTAAGCCCACCCAATTTGTATCTAGATAATCATTGACCACCAATTAGATGTAAAAACAATTTTCTTTTTGCATCTAGATGGTCATATGAGTCCACCCATGACGAATACATAAATAATACTAGAGATGCATCCAAAAGTTTTTTACAAAATTTATATGTATTTAATAATTTGTGTGCCTTTATCTTTATAAATTTTTATTATTTAATTATGACATCATGAATTGACCCATATGGCCAAAGGTTAAACCATTGGGTTTAGTTTTTGGGTTGGTTTTAAATCATGTATTTGATTTCCTTCATAATAAAAATACTCCTCATTGATACGTGCCTATTTTATTTTACAAAATTTTGTATTTTTTGTAATATTTATTTTATTTATTTTTTAATTATGAAATCATTGGTTGACCCATCTGATAAAGATGAACCGGTGATTTATTTTTCATATTGATTTTAAACACAAGTTTTTATATTGTCAAAAATTTTGGAGAAATAGTCAGACCTCACTCACAATTAGAAGTCTGGCAAGTGGGAATAAGCCAGAGGCTTATGCATGCCAAATCAATTGTTTGGTGAAATTGAATTTGAAAATTTCGGATTAGTATGATGCATGATTTCTTTCACAAACAGGCAATTAATGAAAAAATGAATCACACATTCAATCTTTATCCCCAAAATCATTGGACTCTTAAAGCCAGCACAATTCAGGCCAATTGGAAACTGCAACGTCTCCTCTAAAATCATAGTTAAGCTTCTCTCTACAGATCCCCGTTTTCTCTTTGATCTTGCCTTATGACTAAGCGTATTAGACAAAAAAACATTCCGATGGAGGGAGATGTTCTCATTCGCTTCTTCGCCAACGTTCTTCCTCATTGATGACGAAAATGGGGATTGTCGTAGGGAGGAGAAGTTTCAAAGTATAAACCACTGAATTTCGATTTGTAAAGATACAATTCAAAATCTCAAATGCAAAGGATGGAGCAGAATTCCTTTTCCGTCTCTCCCAATATCTTATCAATCAACATGAAAATTTGAAGGCAAAGGCATCACACGATAGTAGAGACTGTCTGGGGGGCTGCAGTGCCACCCCGGAGCTTTCCCTGAAAGCAATAAACAGCCACACCAATTCGCGAGCCAGGGGAGGGAGGGTCAGTATGTATCATCTCAACGTTGAATAGTTTTCTTGCTTTCTTGAAGAAGACAGAGTCCTTCTTCCACCTCCTCAAATGGGCCATCAGGAACACTAATTTGTTTTCTCCGGTCAGGAAGAACTGCAGAGTCTTGAGAAGAGGGTCGAAGAGGTGGTCGTGGTAGACTACGTCGGACGCGAATAGGAGATCGAACTCACGGCCAATGGATTCCATGTCCGCACTCTCACCCCACCTGAGCGAGGCGGTTTTGATGGTCCCACAGTGCACGGCGAAGGTACTGGAGTTGGCATCCGCGTTAAACTGGAGGTTGGGGAGGACGTGGGGTAGGTCAGTGATGGTGACATCGGCTCCAAGGATAGCCGCTGCAGCAATGCCTACCAGGCCGGTGCCGGAACCAAGCTCGAGGATGCGGAGACGGCCTTGGTGACCGTCAGATAAGGAGGTGAGGATTGGGAAAAGGGGGTTGTTATTGGGTTGTTTGCATCGATCGAGAAGGCTAACGAGAGTGGTCGCGGCGGGCCAGAGCTGAAAGGAAAGGCCTTCTGACGGAAGTTGCCGAATAGAAACAGTTGAATCGATCGAACTAAGATAGTGGTGTTGCTGTTGTCGATTTGTGTATTTTCCTTCTGCCGCAGCTACTCTTTCTTCTTCTTTTCCTCCTATCAGGAAGGTGAGAGGATTTATGTCCTCATCGTCGTCGCTGTGGGTGGCCATTTTGAGTGTTGACTGGTACGAATTACTGAATGTCGTGAGGCTTGAATCCCTGGTAGATGTTAGAGGCTTTCAGGAGTCTGGATCTGCGCTTAAATTTTTCACTAACTGCATTGATAGTTTAGAAGTTCTTCAACTATGACAGAATGTTCATCGGTATTTGGCGGACAATCACTGCATAATTGTGTCCGAGAGGAAAAGGAGAAAATGCTTATCGGATCCCTTGGGGAACTCAAAGACCGACACGAAAACAAGAAGAAGGGCGACGATGCAGGTCAAATGGCAGCTCTTGGAAGAGACTGCGCCAGTGATAATGCAGATAACGAGAAGGCCGGAGAATCTGGGTTAAGGACCTATTCCATGACCAGACCCCAGACCGGCGATGGGCGGGCGCTTGAGGAGATCAGTGATCGGATCGGAGACAGGCAAATCGTAGAGGAAATGCGGATATGAGACCGGCCACGGAGAGGCGGCCTTCACTTGATTGAGGGCTGAGGGTTCAGGTACTCAACCATGGAAGTTGGAACAGATATTTAGGGCTGAGGGTTCAAGCAATTGATTGCTTGAGGGCAAAGTACCGCACTTTATCTAACAACTCCACTTCTCAAAGGTTGATATAGAGTAGCGGGGTTCGAAACCGCATTGCGTCTGGGGCTTACCCAGTTACGTGCCAACCGATGAACCGAATGGTGGGGTTTGGGGTAAAAGTAAAACGAAAAGTCGAAAACCTCAAAACGAAGGGAAAGAGACGATGTTAAGTAATACCTTGAAAGTTGAAATATTTTGAAGTGTCTGTCAGAGGTGTAATGTGGGCTGGCAGCGGCACGGCCCACTTTTGCGGGTTGCCCCACTATAGTCTATAGTAGTTCGTGGCAGGCCAACACGCAGGCCTGGGTGGGCTGTGCCTGCCTGGCCCGAAACCCTTTAAAGGGGAAACCCGATACAGTCCACGGCACGAGTCCAGGGGAACTTGTGCCATGCTGCGGGCTTGGGCCGAGCCACGCGTTGGGTTGTGGGCCTAAGCTAGGCCGGGTCACAGGCCTAATCCTTTTTTCATAAATATTTTGAATACTTTCCAGTTTTTTGTTAAGTAAAAAAGATAAATATTTTAGAAAAAAATAAAGAATTAATAAAGACATTTGAGTGACTTAAAAATATAAAATTGACAATAAAGAAAATTCCAAAAACTTTATTTCATTTGAATTTATTGCCTACAATTAATCACATATGAAGTGAAAAAATTAAAAATAAAAAATTATAGTGGCATTCAAAAAAATCATAAATAAATTTTTTTAATAAAATTGAAAAACAAAATTTACAAAAGTTTTAAAAATATTGTACAATTATTGAATATACAATATTTTCTTTAACTTCAAGTTCCACCATCTCCTTCTCTTTGAAATTGATTTGCATTATTTGCATTTTGGTGAAAAATCAACCTGATCGGGTTACTAAACAATCAAACTAAAACCGACCTACCATTAAGAAAAATCAACCCAAACATAAGGGTTAGTTTGGGTAAGTTTATCGGCTTAATCAGTCGGTTTATTAATGGATTCAATGCGACTTGGTCCAATGCATCCTAGAACTAGAAGTCTCAGTTGGAAGTTTGATTTTTGGCCCATTACACACCATGATTAAGGCTGCATTTGCCTTTTAGCATTCATAGATACTCAAAAGATCAATGGGGTTGTGATGCAATATGAAATCTGAATGATTCAACTATCCAATCTGATATTCAGAATGTTGGATGGATAATGGATTGTGATGTGCTGAATGATTCGGCTACAATAACCTCATCTGCTTATTAATATTTAACTAGTAGTCTAGCAAAATCTCTCCCAAAATGGCTGTTAAAAAAACTTAAACCTGTAACTGAAATTATTGAACATCATTTTATCCATAAACTGAATTGAACATCACTAATAAAGCCATCTTAGTTTCTAATAAAGCTTAAACCTATAATTGAACACCATTTCAGCCATAAGTTGATCTGGACATCACTAATAAAGCTTAAACATGTAACTAAACATCATGTTAGCCATAAACTTAACTGGACATCACTAATAAAGCTTAAACTTGTAATTAAACATCACTAATAAAGCCATCTTGGCTTCTAATAACGCTTAAATTTGTAACTGAACGTCACTAACTTTTGGACTTAAAAACAAGTAAGGTGTGAAAAAAAGTCATAAATTGACCATCATGTCATTCAATGATAAAATTTAAATGAAGAATTAATGACAAAAGTTGTTAATTAATCACTAATCCAAAATTTCTTGCAGCCATTCAAAAAGTAAGTGGCCTAATGGACTTTGGAACTTCATGTTTGATGAAGAAATGCTGCTAATAACTCAACTGTCAAGAAACAAACAAGAAAAGTTTGTTTTAGATTGTCACATTACTTGAAAAATGAAAATTTAAAATGTAAAAAAAAATAATTACACTTGCAAAGATTATTATTTCTTACCAAAACATCATTCACCATCACTTAATTATGCTTATTCTGTTGTTCATGAGAATTATAAAACAAAGAAACAAATATTAGTATGTAACCCAAAAAATTATACAAGTTATAAATAATATCATGAAATAAGGTTTATTCACAAGATCACAAATATTACCTAATGTGATTTTTTCATATTTTTCCACTTCATCCATAGCTTCTCATACATTAATTGGAATTGGTTTGGAGCGTAATTAATCTTGGCCACATGTAAGAGCCTCCACCATTTTTGGAGATGGTGAACTCTTAAGTGGATCAAGTAAACACCCACTTGTGCTGAATGCCAATTCAGAAGCAACTATAGAAATTGGCATGGCTAAGACATCCCTTTCTATACGAAAAAGTATAAGATACTTTTGAGAATTCATTTTCCACCAAATCAAAATGTCAAATGAATCACTTGGCTTTTCACAATTTTCTAACAAATACCTTGCAACTTCATATTTACTTTCTACATTTTTTTCATTTTCTAAGTGTTTTGCAAATTGAGATGCTAAGAATCTCTATGCATCATCTTTATTATCATCAAAATCCATCTCATTAGAAGTTTTACTTGAACTTGATACTTCATTTCTAGCATTAGAACTTGAATTACATTCATGATCATGATAATGGCCATATAAATGATTAGGAGTTGCCTCTACTCTCTTGGCCATCTCTCTAGCCCTCAAGCTATCATATATTTGACCAAAACAAAACTTCACATATTTTAATTTGTAACAAGGATCCAAAACAATGGCAACATATAACAAGAAATTCAGATTTTCAAGGTTCTCCCAATATTTATCAACTTTCATTTCATGCACTCTGCCACAGAACTAAAGAGTCTGTCTCCGCTTTTAGACAAACAAACCAACCTAATTTGTAATGTCACGAGTTCATGAAAAAATGCATTTGACGTGACATAAAGAAACCTCAAAAACTGAAATGTTACATTATAAAAGCTTTAGGAACTTCACAAAACATCTGGCGTTGTCCCAATCATCATAATTAAGAGGCCTAACATGCTTATTCCCTCTCCCTTTTCCTTTCCTCTATTCCTACCTCCATTCTCCTCATTTTCATCATCATCACCACCTTCAAAGTATAAGAGATATCTTGGGTCATCCTCTCCTAACTGGTCAAAGGCTCTTTCAAAATTTTTAGTAACTTCCAACATTAAATAGGTAGAATTTCACATAGTCTCAACACCAAGGCATACAAGATTCTTATTTTCTATTTTCTCCTTCTCAACACACCTTTTGAAAGTTTGAAGCCTAGATGGAGACAATCTCACATATCTTATTGCATTTTGGATTTTGAGAATAGACTCATGTAAGTTTTCCAATCCTTTTTTCGCTATCAAATTCACAATATGAGCAAAATATCTTAAATGTGTAAATTCATGTTCTAAGATGGTATCTTTCCAATCCCTAGTTCTTCTTTTTAAATATCTAATTGCACCATCATTAGAACTTCATTATCAACCATAACTGTAAAAATTTCATCAATGCTCCATTCTAGCAAGTACTCCTCAATAGTCTTACCAATTGTTTCTCCCTTGTTATTAGGAACTTGACAAAAGTTTAATTTTTTTATTCAATTTCCATTCACTATCAATCTAATGTGCAGTCAAGCACATATAATTTAAATTTTGGATTAATGACCAAGTATCAGTGGTAAAACATATACATTGATTTTTCATCACTTTTTGTAGTTTCATCTTTTCCTCAAGAAAAATTTTCATGCAATCTCTAAAAATTGTGATACAGGATGGGGCTGTAAACTTAGGTTGCAAAACTCGAGAGTAGTTCTTAAATCCTTCCCCTCCATAATCCTAAAAGGTAATTCATCAACTATAACCATTTTAGCAAGCTCCTTTATAACTTCTTCAACACTAAAGGTCACTGCTTTTAGCTTACTGGTAATGATGCCATATTCTCCTCCATTTTTAGGCTCAAAAGACAATGTCTTTTTTCTTTTATCAACTCTATAGGGATATTTCATGCACTGTTGCTGCAAATGAATCCACATGTTACTAGTGCCATGATTTTTTTTGTCACATGCATACTCTTTGCCACAATAGTTACATGAAGCCCTATGTTCATCCTTATCCTCCGTTTTAGTGACATGATCCAAAATTTTCGATTTTAATCTAGAACCTTGCCTTTTGTTTTTCTTATGGACTATTTCTTAGTAATTTTATGAGGAGTAAGGAGGATTTTTTACCGGATTTGTAGCCTCAGAATCTTGTTGCTTTGAGCCCATTGTTACTGGATCTTTAACTTCATCAACCCCATGCACATTTCACTTCTTTTAGGATCTATCTGAAAATAAAATACCATTATAAATTTATAGTTAGTTTTCCAAGATGAACATCCCTAATGAAACAAGTTAAGAAAAAACAACTAATTGGTTTTAATCGAAAAACTATATATGTTAATTTTTATCTGACATCAACAAAACTAAAATATATTTAAAGCTAAAATATATAAAAATATATTTCAGAATATATATATATATATGTATATATTGGAAATATATTTAAAATTGATGTATATGTATATATATATATATATTTCAGATTCTGAAATTCAGAATATATATTTTGGAAATATATTTAAAACTAAAATATATAGTTTTTGTGCAAATTATGAAATTAATATAAATATCTATTACTATATTTTGGAAATGTATTTAGAATTGATATATATACTTTAGATATATTTCAGTGAGAATACATTTTTTTGGAAATACATTTAAAAATGAAATATATATTTTGGAAATATACATATTATATGTATAATATTTCAGAATATATTTTCTAGAAATATATTTAAAACTAAAAAATATATTTTGGAAATATGTATATTTAAAACCAGTATATATACATATATATATACAAATATATCAAAACAATTTATTTTCTGGAAATATATATCTGATATATTTTGCAATATATATTTTTCAGATATATATTTATTATTTAAAACTGAAATATCTATATCTAAATAATTAAATATGTATTTATATTTAAGTTTATTTCTTTCCATTTTTTATGCAACCGAAATATCTATATTTAACAGTTATAAATTTAAAATATATATTTAAATAGATTAGTTTTCTTCATGCAAAACTGAATTTTTTTGTGCAAATATATCATAAATAACCAGATTTTTTTCAAAGCTTTAAACAAAACACAAATAAATTATATCAACTTTTAGCATGCATTAAAATTTAAAAATATTAAATAAAAAAACAAAATACTAAATTGTGAATGTGACACTTGAGTCTTGAGAAGTTGAAACTTGAGAGAATGAGAGTTGAGAAGATAGGAAACTTGTAATTGTAATAGTGGTGGATGAAACTCGAAAGAAGCCTTGAGAGTGCTTAAGGAGGCGGAACATGAACTGAGGATGAAGATTGGAATTTGGAAGAATCAAAGAAAAATCAAGATTCAAAATTATAGGATTCTTATTTGCCTATTTGGTGTAAAGCATACCTTAGAGAGTATAATCTCTCTTTTACTCTTTCCAAAAAATGCAAGAAGCCAATACTCCAAGTCTCCAACGTGTCCAATCTCCAAGACTCTCATCAAATGAGAAATTTTCTAAGTTTGGCAAGTCTAAAGGTGTAGGAGTCTTGCTTGCAATGCTTGCTAATCCTAAAATGGTTTTTGAAATTGACTCAAATTGTGTCTTTCCCCCCATATTCAATGTTTCCTATTTGGTGTAGAATTTCCAACTAAAAAAAAATCCTAAAGACAAAACTAATTCCCATTTAGCTAATATTTTATTGTTTTTTTAATGTTAAAAATAAGTAGCTAACTAGAAAGAAGAAACTAAGATAGGGATTACCAGATTAGGGAAAGACTAAAAAATTAGAAAATAACTAACTCGGTTCGGTTTCGGTTTTTACACATGAAAACCAAAACCGAACCAAATTATCGCTTTATTTATCTACACAACCCGAAATTGACCGGTGGTGTTGAAAAACCGACCAAATTGAGTTGGATCAGACCAGTTTGGTCAGTTTGAAATCAAATATGAACACCCCTATCTTTTGGCTATTAGGTCTGTTGGAAGATCTTTCAAAAAAGACTTGCCAAATGGCACGTACATCACCATTTTTTTTGAATTTTAAACGACTTCTATATTTTAAAAATTATTCACTAATTATAAGCAATTGATTAACTAAAACACAAGATGTTGGATAATAAATACCCAAAAATGCATTAGTTGTATCATAAAAAATTGCAAAAAAAAATTATACATTTTGCAACATCCTAATTATCACTAGTTATAAAATCATGGGGCATTTTCTCATTATAAAAATTAGTAAGGATGTCTTTATATGAAATACACCTATCTAACATAGAATAGGTGAAATTCCACCTATGTTGAATATCTAGTGCATTTTTTTTATATTTTATCCCATATTGTTGTCATAAATATTTAAATTCTTATTTTCTTGTTCAAGAACTTCTAATATACATACTACTTTTTAATTTTAGAAATAAGAGGTGAAATAATATTTAAAGCATCTTGTACACAAATTTAAAATATGACATGCACATCTAATATGAAATAATTTTCCATTTAAACATAGTATTAATTGAGATTTTAAAATATTTACAATTCAATCATTATTACTAGTATTATCAAAACTAATAGAAAAAAAATTATTTTTAATACCACAAGTATGTAAAAGTATTTAAAATACTAGCAATAATTGCTAGGCTAGTATGTAGTCATTTAAGTCTCGTAAAACATAAAATTATTTTTTTTTTTTTGTAAAAGCTATGATTTATGAATAAAATGCCTTGTGACACAAATATAACTAATATTATATTTGAAAGTGAAATTTTAGAATTAAGATTTGACAAAGTAGAAATTAAAATTTTTATATGAATAAAAAATGTTAAAGCATTTGCTTTAATAGTATTCCTAATTTTTTTTAATTAGGGATTTCTAGATTATTGTAAAAATCTTTCAAGCTTAGGGTCTTCAACTAATAAAAATGATTATTCAGTATGTATAATATATTTTGCTAATTCTTATATCATTTTTTCTTGTAAATATTCAAAACTACCAAAAACCGTACACCCAATTTCTGATTGATTTTGATTACTTTTATTTTTCAAATGACTAATCTTATGTCTAGCCAAATGACCAACACCACCTTTACACTCCTACAGTGTAAAGCCAAGTCATGGCCCGTTAAAAGGTCTCACACCGAAATCACGACATTCATGGGGTCGTTGTTGGTTCTCTCTTTTATTATGTACGCCTCCTAAAAAAAAGAAAAAAAAAAAACAGAGACCCTTTGGACTTATATCACAAGGTTCGACGTTCAAGAGAGCAAACTCGTTGGACCTGGCATGGTTTTATTACTTGTGCTCTCATTTGCCCACTGTAAGTTAAAAATTTGGCAAATTTGGCTGTCTACATTAGGAGCTTTTGCTTTCCACAAAGCTAGAGCCCTGTAAACCGCAGAAGTTGTCGCTTGTCAAACATGGCGAGCTAGTCTAAGCTGTGTTCAGTAGCAGGATCATCCATTGCCTCCACCCTAATGCCCAACCATCAAGACATTATGAGAAAGTATATTTAACTTTGTTTATTAGTAGAATGGTGGATAACAGTAGAGCATCTGACCCTAACAATTTCTCAACTGTAAAAAGATTTTCATTCGGATCCTAATAATTTCGGCCGTATCATATCAGTACATAGAAACGGCTGAAACACATTTTTTTTTTTAACTTTGATTTTTTGGAAAGATTATAGGCTGTTTTTTATTATTAAAAAAATAGAGGTCCGAAACTCCTGAAAACAGGAGTTTCAGACCGTATTATTTATAAAAGATACAATACGATACGTCTGACATATCGGACATATCAATACTTTGAACCATGCTCACCTGATCAAACCGATACTGAAATTTGGTGTTTTGGGAATGAGATCTACAAGGCTTTTGTCCTAAATTCTGGTATTTGGCGTTTTAGGGAATTCAAAATGTTGCAATATTTTGAACACTGAGCCCTATTGGGAATATAAGGAATATGTATGCATAAGTGCATTATGTTGAAATTACTGCAGTTTATCATTTCCCATCAGTGATATGCATATTCAGTCTTTATAATATAAAAGATTAAAGAAAAATAAAATTCTCCTTCCTCTTTTTCCTCGTCCCCTTCCTCCTCTTTCCTCTTCATCCTCCTTTTGGGAGGGTTACGCCTCTTACATTATGAATTGTGCCTCATGCCTCTACGTAGGGGAACGCTTTGCATTAAGTCTCTGCATTTTAAAACACTGGTTTGACCAAGGCTAAAAAGAGAGTGTTCTCTTTCTTTATTCTGAGTTTTTTAGCAAAAACACATAATTCAAGTCATTAACAACTGCAATCAAAGAGATATATTGGAGTGTTCATCGATTCACATAAACACACTAAATTGAATTCCTTGTTTTGGGCTGCACCATCTTCAGTTCTTGAACTCAAATTGGACCTCAAAACTGGGTATAAACTACCAGTTTGGGAGCTGCAATTGTGGTACCACATTAGGTACGATTCCAACTTTATTTAAACATCAAATTTGATCATCTAACCTTACATCAATCCAAGAAGAAAATTTCGAATTCTTTATTCTTGAGCTAATAATAACAATCTTCAACTTTTTTGGGCTCAAATCAATCCTTATCAATGTTTTTGAACCATCATTGACTTGGACAATTGGACCGTTTGGCCTGGAAACCGTCCAAGCAACCGGTTCTGTTTCACCCTTAAACCATTCCTGAGTCAAAAACTGTTGGCTTGGTCAGAAAACCGCTGACCTGAGCGGTTGAACCGTTGACTAGTTTAACCCGGACAGTGGTTCGTGGTTTAAGAAAGTTGCAGAGGGGAGAAGCTGGGACATGAACTCAAGAGGTTGGAGAGATATCAATCTCAGATCTCATATTTGAGATCTGCATCTATTGCTGCCGCCTTGCCATCGTCGTCGTCGCTATTATCATCGTCGGTGAGTGTCAAATCCTCCTCTTCCTTCTTCTTCCCTCCCCTCCTTCCTTTCTTTCTTTTCTTTCCTTCTTTTCTTCTCTTTTTTTTTTTTTTTTTTTTCTTCTCAGCCAACAACAGTCTCTTCTGTCTTCTCCTTTCTCATATAAAACTTTTATATGAGAAATATTTGCCCTAATGTAAACCGTCCAAACTGTTCAACTGGGACTGTTCCAGTCGAACCACTGACCCAAAAACTGGTGGCTACAATAGTTCCATTTCCGGGCCGGTTTTTAAAACCTTGATCCTTACAACAAGGCTATACCCAAAGAACTGCACCATCATCTAAATCTACCAGATCTGACATTACATTCCTTTACAGAAGACAAAAGGAATTGACAGTTTCACATATTTGCTAAGAAACCCATCTACTACACCAAGTTTGAGAATTACATGAGCGAAACTTACTATCATTAATATTAGATCCTTTATTGCATTAATTCCAATATTTGTATCTATAGAAAAAAAGATCCAGAAGCTCTTAAATAATTGATTGATTTCATTTTTCCAGAACTTAGTGCGAAACTATACTGGAACATGCACATTGGGTCAATTCAGCACAAAGTAGAGTTCAATCAACTTACCCAACAGTTCAAAGGATTATAATCTAAATTTGAGATCTGAGTACTAAACTTTGTATCTATGCCTTCATTTTTTGCGTTTACACGACTTTATGTTCTTACATATATAATCAATCACCTCTTTTAATGTGGCTTTCCTTCCTTCCTTGAAGTTCCAAAGCTCAGGAACTGGGTACCTTCCACTAGGGTTATACTCATTCATCTCCCACAAGGCTGTAACAACAGCCTCGTAGATCTCATTCCCAAACTTTTCTCTTAGGACTTTTAATTTCTCATCTTCTTCGTCAATTATTTCCTGCAGAATGATCATCATTTCTATGTGATTAATCACTCATTGCTTTGCTAGCTTAGCTCAAGCAAGGAATAAGATAATTTTCCTTTATCTCAAGCAAAATCATAGAAAATCAGAATAACATCCTAGTTCCTATGGAATATTGCACATGAAAAGGATCAATTTGCAACTTCAAAATTGAACTTGTATTTGTCCGCAAATAGTTGCAGGTGGGTATATAAACGAATACAAGCAATAATGATCTCTATCCCATCATAGACTGTATATGGGAAGCACTGATATCTTAAAATGCAAAGGTTGATCCAGTAAAAAATGGAATTAAAGGAAAATGTAAAAGATGCATGATCTTTTGACGAGCAAAAACAAGTACACGAATGCTGGATTATTGCATAAGTAGCTGTATAAGGGTGCAACTTGGGTCAGGTTGGTTGAGAATTTATTAATTTTTCAATGGGCCTGAACCCTAACCTGAGCTCTATGTAATTGAAAATTTTCAAATCAGGAAACCCAATTTGCAGCCATAGCTGTAACAGTATCAGAACAGAAAGAGAAGGATATTTTACATACATACCGTGGCCTGACCTTCACTCTCAACAATTTTAAATGGATGCCAGGATGGTTCCCTGAGATACTCTTGCCACAAAGAGCAGAGTTTTGTAGACTCCATTTCTGCTTTATCACTAGGAAGCCTTTTCTTGAATGCAACTTGAAATGGTTTCTCATCAAGCTCTCCCATTCTTTTAATTCCAATGTTAGTCCGACCAGCCAAGATATCTGTCAAACCCTAAGGGAAAAAATAAGCATCATCAGATTCATCTTGAGTTACATGATAACATGAATTAGTGACAAACAAGTACATTATTAGCAGGCAGCCATTGGGAAGTATAGGTTAATGAACAAGTGATTAAAAGAATATATATACCAGAAGAGAGAGAGAGAGAGAGAGAGAGAGAGAGAGGAGAATGATTCAAATAGGGTTGAGAGAGAACAGAGAAAAGAGGAGAATGATTGAAATAGGGTTGAATGGGTATGCCAGCTCAACTGTTCTAATTTATACTTGGGTGTTTAAAATGAATTATTATCTGTGAAGAAATATAGAAAATGATAGAGGAAGAGAGGAGAAGAGAACGATTGGAGTTCAAAAAGTATGCTGGTGGCGCCAATTATATATAAAGCGACAAATAAAATAAGAGAAATTGTGCCCCTGTGGCACATATACATAAAGCATAATATTAACAGTTCTAATGCCCCCCTCAAGTTGGGACAAAGATGTCAATCATGCCCAACTTGCCACACAAGTTATTGTGCCACAAGTGATGAAGACCCTTAGTGAAGATATCTGCAAGTTGTTCTTCTAAGCTAACATAGGGAGTGCACACTTCTCTACTTACAAGTGTCTCCTTGATAAAATGCTTGTCCACTTTAATGTGTTTTATCCTGTCATGGAGGACTGGGCTGGCTACAATATTGATGGCAGCCTTGTTGTCACAATAGAGTGACATAGGACTATTAACTATAAAACCTAGTTCACTGAGCAAGTTCTTTATCCACATGAATTCAGCAACTCCATGGGACATAGCTCTATATTCCACTTCTGCACTGGACCTAGCCACTACACTTTGTTTTTTGCTTCTCCATGTGACAAGTTTCCTCCCACAAAAGTGCAATATCCACATGTAGATTTTTTGTCATCAACTGCCCCTTACCTAGTCAACATCTGTGTACACTTCAACTTTCAAATGCCCATGCTTCTAGAAAAACAAACCATCCCCTTGAGGTATCTTAGAATCCTCTCAGTAGCCTCAAAATGTGTAGTCTTGGGATTATGCATAAACTGGTTGAGGACACCCATAGCATAAGCAATGTCAGGTCTAGTCAAGGATAGATATAAGAGTCTCCCTATGAGTATTTGGTACTATTTCACATCTTTTATAGCCTCTCCCTAACTATCCCCTAACTGATGATCACTAGCTTGCCTATGTCTTCTAATAGATCTAGGACATATTTGCTTTGAAAGGTAAAAAATCCCTTTTGTTAGTGCACAACTTCAATCCCAAGGAAATAGTGTAAGGGACCTAATCTTTCACATCAAACTGAGTAGCTAAGAATTCCTTCAATTTCTGTAAGTTTTCCAATCACTTATGACCACTATGTCATCCACATACACTATCAGGGCTGCAATTTTTCCTTCACTTTTCTTTACAAATAATGTATGATCTGATTGACATTGTTTAGAACCCATCTATTGTACGATCAAGTTAAGCTTGCTGAACCAGGCCCAGGGTGACTGCTTGACTTCTTCAATTTGCACACCTTTTGCTCACTACTTTTGGCACAAAAACTAGGAGGTTGAGTCATGTACACCTCCTCTTCTAAATCACCATTCAAGAAAGCATTCTTGATGTTTGGTTGGTGAAGGTCCCAACCAAAATTAGCTGCTGCTAGTAAAAGGACTCTAATAGAGTTCATCTTGGCTATAAGGGCAAAAGTCTCTACATAGTCCACTCCTTACGCCTATGTGAATCTCTGTGCCACCAATTTAACTTTGTATCTTTCTATCACGCCATCAACTTTATGATTCACTGTGAACACCCACTTACATCCCATTGGTTCTTTTCCTTCGGGAAGATCTACCAACTCCCAAGTGCCATTGTTGTGCAAGGCATTAATTTCTTCCTTCATTGCATCTGTCTATTCAGGTATGGATAAAGCTTCTACTACATTCTTAGGAAGAGGAACACTATCAAGAGAGGTAAGAAAGGCACAAAATGAAGGTGATATATGATAATACGAAACAAAGTTAGAGAAGTAAAGAACTCCCAAGTGCCATTGTTGAGGTGTTTTAGCACAGGAACTACATTGTAGAGACCCACATGAAGCAAAGAACCTTGTGAGATCACTATGAAAATACTCCTTTGTGTTGTCTAGTTGGAAAATATGAATCTCAATCTAGAACTGGGTAAAGACCATGTGTTGAAAATCTTTTACAAGCTTTGGCACCTATTCTCTAAATCGCATGGGAAAACCTTAAGTATATCTAGAATAGTCATTGGTCAATGTAATAAAATACTTATAGCCAATTTCAAACGGTAGAGTAACAAGGCCTCAAACATTGGAATAAACAATGTGAAGAGGAAAATCAGTTCTTTTATTTCTTAAAGGAAAAGAACTTTTACAATGTTTGCTCAATTGACCAAGAAAACTATGCCATAAATAGGCTTGACTCTTAGTAGACAAACTTAAAGAATCTCTAGCCATAAGGTCAACTTTATTCTCCAACACATAGATACCATCCACCATGCTTCCCCTACCAATTGTCTTCTCGGAGGTCAAATCCTAGAATACACAAGAAGGAGAAAAGGTTACTGAGCAATTCAAGGAATGAGTAGTGCTGCTAATGAAAAGTAAATTAATAGGTAATTTTGGAACATGCAACACATTAGAAAGGAAAAGGCCAAAAGGGAGAGAGATGGTTCCTTGACCGGCTATGGAAGAGAACGACCCATCAGCTAGTCTCACCTTATCTCTCAAGAGAGGAGGTTATATGCCTGAAATAGATTTGACCTACCAATCATGTGATTTGAAGCCCCTGAGTCAATTATCTAAGGAGAGTCAGATATATGAGATGACACATGGAAGGCAGTGGCAAAGTTACTTGACGTAAATGCAAAAGAGGTAGGAGTAGGGCTGGAATTCCAAGTGGTCACAAAAAGAGTTGATGATCTCTTCCTTAGGATCAAAACCAAAGGGATGATCCTAAGATACAGTGGGGAAAGTCTCTTGAGATGCCATATTTGTTGAGTTATACTTCTTCTGACTCTGTTGTAATGACTTCTTAGTCTGATTTGATGCTGATTTTTTCTTTAACTCCAAAGCCCACTTAGGCTTCCCATGAAGATTCCAACAAGTGTATCTAATGTGTCTAGACCATTGACGATGAGTACACCAAAGTTTGTCTTTATCATCCACCCTCTTTTGGAAGTCACCCTTCTTAAAATAACTCCCTCCACTTCCATTTGTAACCCCTTTGGCAGCCAAGGCAACTAGCTCCCCCTCTAGACAATTCATCACATTTCTTCTACTTTCTTCAGACTGCACTAAGGCATAGGCCTCTTGGACTGAGGAGAGGTCGTTACTTCCCAAAATTTGCACCTTGATAGATTCATATATAGAATTTAACCCCAAGAGGAAACCAAATACTTGTTGCTGGGAGATAAGAAACTTATAAGCTTTAGATATGTATAAAAAGAAAGAAACTTGTAAGCTTTTGCATTTGCATCACATTTCCACTCCACACTGATAATGATCCAACTCTTTCCAAATCAATGTCAAGTTTGAGTAGTATACTGAAAAACTCCTCTCCCCCTGCTTACAAGTAGATGATTTAGCTTGCAATTGGTATATCTTTGCATCGTGTCTTTGTTCTGAATAGGTGGATTTTGCCTGTTCCCATATTTCATAAGCTGTTTCAATCCACATGAAGGTCTTTCTCACTTGGGGCAGCATAGAGATTATGAGCCACAACATCACCATACGATTCTCTTGATCCCATCTGTCATGTTCAGCACTTCCAGACTTTGGCTCTTTCACTTCACCATTGATATAACCTATCTTCCCTCTTGCAATAATGTAGAGCTTAATTCCCTTAGACCACTCAAGGCAGTTAAGCTCATCAAAGAGAATTACAGTCAGGGAAACTCATATCCAGCCCCCCACTCAGTCTGCTTTGACTTGTGGAAATGCCACAAGATGCAGAATCTTCAGAGGACATGGCCAGGTTCACTGTTCATCTCTAAATACAGCCTATGGAATCACACAGGAATCACTTCTAACACAGGTCAGCCCTAGAAGGACACTAGGACTGCAGTCCACATAAGCCACTCTACAGTCAGAACACAAACAGAACTACTTGCCCCTAAAAAACTAGGTTTTACAATCGTCTTCAGGTCAAAGAACAGTCCAACAGCTACAGTCACCACAACTCCAGGCCACCTAATCACCACAACCACCAAGAGACAACACAACCAGTGTTGTTATACCAAAAACAGGTCATGCATGACCTACAGAGACCTCATATTCAGCCACAAGGATCACACGATCCACAAACAGGGTTTAAAGCACCACTAAACCCTCTCACAGCATTCAGCCACTTTTTTTACAGATTTTCTTGGTACACAACCAAGAGAAGAGAGAATGAAAGAGAAATTTCTTCTGAATCAGTCCAGGTGGTGTCTCTTGAACCCAGCCTGGATAAGACAGCAAGAAGAGGAGAAGAAAAGGTGATCAATCTGTTCTCAGGCCCAGTATGTGAGCTCTGATACCATATTATCAGTGAAGAAATATAGAAAAAAATGGAGGAAGAGAGGAGAAGAGAAGAAGAAAGAGGGAGGAGAAGAGAAGAGAATGATTGGAGTTCCAAAAGTATGCTGGTGGCGCCAGTTCTAAATATTATATAGGGTGACAAATATAATAAGAGAAAAGACAAATTTGCCCCTGCGGCACTATATATACATAAAACATGATATTAACAGTTCTAACATGAATAGAATTACATTTCTGCCCTCCAATACAGAAAGATAAAAGCAAAAATATCTCCAACTTAAAACTAGTCAACTTGGTTACATGATCCCAAGTATAGGAAAATTTATCAACTTTTTCTATGGGTTCTCCAAAGTGGTTCTTCATTCTGTTTCTTTCTATTTTTTTTACCATAATCAAATATTTAGGTAGATCAGGTGCTTCTGATCATTCAACAGTTTTTCTTTAGCTTAAGTAATCTGCTGAGTCTGCTGAGTGCAAGAGTAGAATCATTTGATGGCAGCTCCCGACTGTTGCAGGGGTATTACCTACATTAGATAGACTATAATCCTTAGAACACAGATTTAGATAGCATAATTTTATTAGGTAAGTAGGACAGCAGCAGTAAGCCTGGGAGGTTATCTTAAACACATGAAATTTTATCAACTTTCTCAGTTTCTCTAATGGGTTCTCCAAAGTGGCTCTTTGTTTTTTTTTTTCCCCTTTTCTTTTTTTACTATATCAAATATTTAGGTAGATCAGGTGCTTATGATCATAGTTGTCAAGGCAATGCCTAGGTGGGCGCCTAGGCAACAAGGCGCCCTTGGAGGCTCGCCTCGCCGAGTCGCCTAGCAGTTTTGTATACTGTCTTATAAAATACTTTTATATTGTTACTTTTTTGAGATTATAATTATAAAATAGACATTATTAAACAAAAATATTCATTTTTTGTGTTTATAAACTAATTTATTTTTATTATTTTCTTATTTGTTAGGGTTTAATCAACACAAACATTGCTAACTGCTGTATTGAACCCTCAAAGACTTCAGAATTTGAACCAATAAGTAAGGGAAAAATTTAAAGTTTTGTCTAATCAACACATTTCTTCCTCCACATCTTCTTCTTCTTTTCCTATAACAAAAATAGAGGTTCAGTCCCCTTATTTTTTGAATTTTCTTTTCTTTCTTCTTTTTCTTCTCATAAATATGTTGATTTTCTAGACATAAACATGAAGTTCATAATTTTCAAAGAAAATTATGGATAGTTATTAAGGAAAGATGGTTATGAAACCTAGGGAACTACGTAGGATATGTATTTTTCACTTAAAAAAGTCCATCGCCTAGGCGACTAGGCGATAAGGCACCCCCCTGTCACCTAGCCTCGCCTTGGCGCCTTGAAAACTATGCTTATGATCATTCAATAGTTGTATCTTTAGCTTAAGTAATCTGCTGAGTGCAAGAGTGGAAGCATGCGATAATAGCTCCTGACTTTTGTAAGGGTATTACCTACATTAGATAGTCTATAATACTTAGAGCACAAATTTAAACTAGGATTTAGTTAATGCAATTTTATTAGGTAAGTAGGGCAGCAGCAGTAAGCCTGGTGGTAATAGCTACGTCCATCTATTTTTATTAGGTATATTTATGCAGGTAGAATATTGCATACCTATAGACAACCTGGCTTACTTGCTCTTTTCTTTTTCCTCCTTTTTCTTTTTCAGGTTTAGGTAGCAATTTCAACAATATCTTAGTAGTTATCATAGATTTTCTTTAAACCCAACACTAATATTACGATTCATTGCACCAATGGATAGGTGTCTTTCAAAGGAAAAGGGAGTGAAATCATACTGAAATTAGTTCTTGACGAGCTTCTTGAAGTTCATCATTGCTTGCCCGTTCTTTGGCTATAAGAGTTTGATTTAGATCTTCCATGTTTACCATCTCCTCCATTTTTTCTTCCAGTTCATCAGCCATCTCTTTCAACTTTTTCTGGATTCCAATATCATCTTCACCTTCCATATGCTTCATCACTTGTAACTTTCCTTTCAACTCTGCAATTTCCAATTCCAATTTCTGTTTAGCATCTAATTGTTTTTCCAGTTGCAGTAGTTTATTCATAGCAGCCTCTTTCTCCCTCTGCACATTTACAATACCAGTCAAAGAAAATGTTAAAAATGTTCTTAAAAGGGAGAAATGTGTAACTGATTAAAGGACTTCTGGTCTAGGTCTACACAACATACCTTCTGCTCTTCCATCAGCCTCAAGACATTTTCGTCAGCCTTTTTCTGCTCCATTGATGCCATTTGAAGTAAATTATTTTTCACAGCATTCTGAAAGGACAGCAGATTATATTAATATTAAGTATATCTAAACATCAATACTGTTACTAACATGTATTGAACATCTTTAAAGTTTCAACAGCTGCTACTATTAATGTTAAAACTGCTAAAGATAAAGCAAGGGGACTGGTTAGATGCATCCCATTTGTGGATAAACCGGGCGGAATGTATAATTGAAAGACAAAGAAACAATCACTAGTAATGATAAAAGTCAAAATATGTTTTTTTTTTCTTTTAAAGCACGTACTATTTTTATCAATAATTGGTGGTATACCCCTTTACAGAGAATGGGATGTGCCCAAATCAGTAATGGGCCTCTTTTAAGCAAAAGCATATAGTTTAACTTTGCATATTTGGAAGAAATGGAATCCTCTCAGCAAGCCTCATCTGGGGGGCGGGGGGAGTTTGCCACCAAATTAGTTGATTAGTTGAACAGGATAGGAAATCAGAGCCAGCCCCCTTAGAAGCTGTTTCTAACCAGCCTTCTTGTTCAGGTACCTTTGTGTTTTTAGTTTCCAATACTAATTCTTGCTCTCTGTCTGCTAGTTGTGTTCCAGATTCCCAACCTTTCTTACAGCTGCAAGCCCTTGATATGATGGGTCATGTTGTAATGAGAAGGGAGAAAGACATGTTAGTAGCAGGCTGACTCTGGCATTGGATGGGGAAGAAAGCAGGAGAACATGTGTTTTGGAATGGTAGAATACTGATATGTTTCATTCTATTGCCAATTGGCATATTTATACAGTAAGCTGCTGCAATAAATAGAAAGAAAGAAAAATAGAAAGAAGAAAAAATAGAAAGAAGAGAAAATAGAAAGTACAAAAATAGAACGAAAGAAATAGAAAGAAAAACTTTCTAAATCAATCCTTCCACAATCCTAAGAATATATACAATTCTATTTTCAGATCTGAACCAGTAACCCCACGTTTTCCAACACTCCCCCTCAAGCTGGTGAATAGAGATCCTCCATTCCCAGCTTGGCTATAATTCTTCGAAAGTCTGTACTATTGAGCCCTTTAGTAAGTACATCA